GGAGCTTATTCTTAGCATGTTCAAAATAAGCAAATTCATCTCTTTAAGCCAATGTTTAATTTGGATTATTATGCCAATAAGATCTGGGTGAATAAAGATATGCAAAGTGCAAGACTGTAAATTAACAGGGGAAAAAAAACCCTTTCCCGTTTAAAACAACACACACACACAATCATATGCACACACACACATACACACACCCACACACCCAATTAAGATTCTTGGCCACGTAGATTTATAGCATTTATATATTTTGTTCCTCTGGGTGTGAAAAAGTGAAGGAGGGTGTCCCTAAGATTCTTCCTGTAAATTTTTTTCCTATATATGGAAAACATGTTTAAAATCCTGGTGGGAAGTAACTTCCTCCAGTTCAGAGAAATGGTTAGAAGGAATATTTGTTACTGTGTACTAAGAAACACCAGTCTGGAAAATTCCCACTCGGTTCTTCCCCCAGTGCTTCATAGTTCTCCCATTGGCTCATGGGCTTGGGGAAGCTTCATAGTCAATATTTTTCAAAAAGGATGCCAGTCTTTCTTGTCCCTTTTTTAAAGGGTGAAAGAGAACATCGAAGCGGTACCGAAAGAGAGTCTGAACTGAATGTGGGGTTTGGGCAATAAGCCAAATGGGCAGCTGAAACCAGAATGTTGATGTCAGGAGGAGGGGAACTCAACCTAGTGGGATTTCCAAGACACACTGTCAAAAGTTCTCAAGACAGTTATGCAGCATCCTCAATGCCGAAGTCGGTCCTTTGCAAAAGTACCCCCAAGCAAGAAAACCGTCAGGTCACAGATCATTCTGAAGAATCAACACAGTGTCACAGGCTGTTGACAGGTTCACATCTAAGGTCATGGACCAGTTTTCTTTGGGGGATGCCCTCATAGAATGGAAGTGTTGCATCAGCAAAATGTTACCGAAAGCTGTCACCAAATACAGTAAGCAAGGCAAAGCACTGCTTATTCATGCACCGATGGCCCAGTAAATCAAGAGTTGTCAATGACTGCTGAAGGCTGCAACAGAATATTGTATTAAAGAAGTTTCTCGGTCCAAACACAGATACATAAAGCCCTACAGAGAATGGCAATGCCAGGATTCTTCCTAACTGTGATGTTTGGCATTTTCCTCCACATTTTTCTTTCTTGACCTAGTTTAGCCAAACTCCTATGGCAGTACTTGTCACTTACAAACACTGGAAAGCAGGTGTAAACAGAAAGTGACTAACAAGTGCGTGTAGCATGAAAAGACTGATACTCACTTTTGTAAGGAGGTAATCAACAATTAATGAATGGCAGCAGTGGCCTTCAGCAAAGGCTCTGAGTCAGAAGCACCAGGGATCTAGTCCTAACTCTTTCACGGACTTGAACTATGACCCTAATGTCTCTGAGCCTCAGTTTCTTCACCTTTAAAATGGGAACAATAATAGTGCCTATTCTATGGGATGGTAGAAAGCACTAAATTAAATAAGTGAAGCACTTAGTATAGTGTCTGGCACATAGTAAGTTATGAAAATATGTTAGCTACTTTTATAATAATAATTATTATGATTATTATCATCATTACTAGTTATAATTAGAACATGCTTTTCAAAAGTGATCACTTTGAATTTAACTTGTATGCCATCTGATCTGGAAGTATAATGAGGGTATCCAATTCCTACTGATTTAGTGAGTCAAACAGAAAACCAAAACAAATTGAATCATTCAACTGGTGTATTTAGAATTGCTGATGATTATAGCATTCAAGAAAGTTAGTGAAATACATAAATTGCAATTGAACTGTTCTTGAAAATCCCCCAAATCAGTTTTCATTTGTCTAGCCTAATGGTAGGTAGGACTTGTTCATTTTTAAAATGTATATTTAGAACCTTCTAAAAAGGAAACCTTGTGGAAGGTGAAAATGGAGGAGACAAAAGGTGTTAATACAAAGAGAATGTGCCAAAATCATGTATGTTCCATCTTTGAAAACAAAAAAGAAAGTATTGCATTCACATATCGCTTTATGCTTTTCGTGGAACTATCACTCATTGCCATTTTATTTCATTGCACGCATGCACACGTGCTTGCACACACGCACACACACACACTCACACACGCACATGCACAAAGGGGAGGCTACAATGTACACAGTCAGTCTCTTTGTACCCAGCACTGCTTCTCTTCTAAGTCAGCTCTGCTGTTAGAGACCAGTGTGCAGATGGAGGGGAAGGTATGGTGTCAGCACCAAAGTTATGGGTCCACTCCAGAGATTTCATTCAAAGGATAATCTGATTAGCAAAATTTGAGACAGGCCTGTATATGCATTCTTTTATCATCTAATTCAAAAAACTCCACAACACAACTTGGATGAAATCGCCAGTATCAAAGGTCCTAATGTAGCATAATTTGTGTTGAGCATGCTGCATTGTGACAGTGCTATAAACCAGGGAGACAGTTTACTGACAATTCTGTGCTACCAGATACCAACTCAGGCCTCTGTCCAGCTTTACATTGTCAACTCTCGTGGAAACATGAGCAGTTACACAGCCTCAGAGGACGCTGAAGTCTGGATTGCAAAAGATGAGATGGACAGATTTCATATTTTCATTGCAGATTTTTTTTTGCCTTTCAAACTGCTGAGCATAATTTTTTTTTAAGGCAGGAAATGCAACTAGTGTTTGTTTCTAGCATGGCTTCTGTTTTGAGATTTCTTCTTTGTAGAAGAAATGTGTTGCCCAGCTGTCTAGAATCCCAATCAGGATATGGCTTCAGTATGAAATATATTAAAAGAATGATTTTAGCTGGTTATAAGCAGGAACGAAAATGAGGCTGGGCCTATTTTATCCAGTTTTTACTCACAGAGGGAGCATTCTGGTTCAGTCCAGTGGGGCCAATAGGAATAGATGAAGTAAAGCTAAGTTCTGGGGGGAGGGAGTTGCTTTATTTTTTATTTTTTGTAATTATTTTGTTTGTTTTTGTTTCTGTTTTTGCCTTGGAAGGAAGAGTAATTGTGAAACATAAAGGTTCATATTAGCGAGCAAACAGAGCTGAGGAGATTCTCAGTTATAAAGATTCTCAGAAATAAAAATCATGTGTCCACTGGCCAGAAGTATTGCAGTCAACACTTAAAAGGGTAGTTCAACCCAAATTAAACTGTTGGAGGACTTAATGCTTCTCAGTATTAATATATTTCCTATTTGCAACACACACACATTATTCAACAAATTATTAATTAAAACCTCCATTTATGCACATCCTAGGGCTACTGTCGGTTAATGGGGTAAGAGACAAAGATGATTCCAGTCCTACCTTTTAAGATGTACAGAGATTGTTGCAGAGACAGATATTTCAACTAGTATTCTATCCTTAACCAACTTAAGATGTTTTAGTCTGCTTGTTTCCTAGAATATTTCCTATTTTTTATTTTTATTTTTTAAAATTCATAGTTTTTTAAAGAAAAGTTTCAGGTTTACCAAAAAACTGAATGGAAAATATAGAGTTCCCATATACCCCTTCAACCCCCTACGCCAACACACAATTCCCCTATTTTTAACATTTTTTATTAGTGTGGTACATTTGTTACAATTGATGAACCAATATTCATACATTGTTATTAACTAAAGTCTATAGTTTACATTAAGGTTCACTCTTAGTGTGGTATATTACACAGATTTGACAAATGTATACTGATATTTATCCACCATTATAATATCAAACAGAATAGTTACACAGCCCTAAAAATCCCCTGTGCTTATTGATTCATCCCCATCTCCCCCCAGATCCTTTGCTACCACTGATCTTTTACTGTCTCCATAGTTTTCCCTTTTCCAGAACGTCATAGTTTTGGAATGATGCAGTACAAAGTCTTTTCAAGCTGGCTTCTTTCACTTAACAATATACAATTAAGAGTCCTCCAAGTCTTTTGGTAACTTGAGAGCTCATTTCTTTTTATCACTGAATAATATTCCATTATATGTATGGGCCACAGTTTTTTTTTTTACCCATTTACCTATTGATAGACATCTTGGCTGCTTTCAAGCTTTATCAATTATGAATAAAGTGGCTGGAAATATTTGTGCACAGGTTTTTGTGTGAACACAAGTTCTGAACTCATTTGGGTCCATATCAAGGAGCACAATTGCTGGATAGTATGGTATAAATATGTTTTCCTAAGAACCTACCAAACTCTTTGAAAGTTCCAGTACCATTCTGCATTTCAACCACCAGTGGATGAGAATTCCTTGTTGCTCCACATCCTTGTCAGCATTTGCGGCTGCCAGTGGCTTAGCTTTTGGCCATTCTAATAGGTGTTTAGTAGTATCACATTATTGTTTTTTATTTGTTTGTTTGTTTTTTTAAGATTTTATTCACTTATTTGACAGAGAGAGACACAATGAGAGAGGGAACACAAGCAGGGGGAGTGGGAGAGGGAGAAGCAGGCTTCCCGCAGAGCAGGGAGCCCGATGCGGGCCTCGATCCGAGGACCCTGGGACCATGACCTGAGCCGAAGGCAGATGCTTAACGACTGGGCCACCCAGGTGCCCCTCGCATTATTGTTTTAATTTGTAATTCTTTGATGATATATGTATTTCCTAATTTTTAATTTTCTTACTTATCTATTACATATTTTTCTAACATCTGTGATTTTGACCTTTATGTTTCGATCATTCATTTATTCAACTATTTATCCACATGCATTCAGTGTCTACTATATGCCAGTAACACTTTTCAAAGCTAGGCTATTTTTCTTTCTTTTACCCTTTTATTATTCTTTTTTCATTTTCAGTTTGTCATATTCCACTAATTATTTATTTCACATAAACTGTTAGTTTGTCCCTCTTTCTAGTCTATTAATCTCCAAGTAAACTGGCTATCTCTTACTTCTCTGGTGATAATTGTTTCATTTCTTCAACTTTCTCTTGTTCCCTTCAAAACTTTCATCATTATAGATTCATAATACATACAGCACAGAGTTGGTATTGCTAAAGATGAAACTACTGAAAAAAATGAAGTGAAGAAATCATTTACCTTGGTTGACAATAAATCTTAACTTCTGTATTGTTGCCAGATTGCCACTAACTCGGTATATTCCATCAACATCTAGACCTGAAAATAAAAGGGCATGTTTTATATTTGCTCATAAAGGAACTGAGATGGTAAAAGAAAAAAAATTAAATGTGGGAAGGAAGGTAATAGTAAATCAACGCCAAATATCCCTTTCTCATAGAGAAGACAAATTTCTATGTTCTAAACCAAGCAATCTTCAATAGTTTAATTTCAACAAACTAATCATAAAGTTCAATCATAGTCAATCATCAACAAATTTGAATCTAGTTTAATCACAGAAGAGTAATAGGTATCATTGGATTTCACACTATAGTTAAGATTTAGTCCCAACACAGGAATTAAACTGGTGGTAGGTAGGAGAAAAACCTTCACTTATATATTATTGCCCCTTTCTGGACAGAAAACAACCCAAGGCATTTGTGGGATCTCCCTTCCTTCCTACTTTCCTCCTTCCCTTTCTTATACTATTCTATTCTATTCTATTCTATTCTATTCTATTCTTCTATTCTATTCTATTCTTCTATTCTATTCTATTCTATTCTATTCTATTCTATTCTATTCTATTCTTTTCTTTTCTTTTCCATTCTATTCTTTTCTATTCTATTCCGTCCAGCCCTGTCCTGTTTCATCCCATCCCATTCAATTCCATTCTCTTTTTTCTTGTAATCCTATAACATAGCATGCATTGGTCTAATTATTTTAAACTACAGAAGAAAATTCTATTCCAGATGTATAAATAGTTTGATAATCTCTAGTATTTTACAGGTAATGGGGGTACTCTCTTATGGAGGGATAATAAAGAAAAAAGTCTTTGACAAAATGCTGAAATTAGTTTCAGAGTATTTTAAAACTGGTCATCTATAATTCAAAATAACCTATCCTGGCAGTGGATTTGGATGATCAACCACTTGTTTTCCACACATCTATTTATAGCATCTAGTTATTTCCATGACCAACTTATCGAAAATTGAGGAAACAGGAAAATAGAAAGAGAAACACTTACTGAAACACTATTATTGTCCCTAAGGAATGTGGATAACATAATTTTAATGTCAAGAGTGTATATTCCTTGATGTGTCCAGGCCCTCAGAGAGGCCAGGGATGAGGTTACCACCCAACTATCTCAACTCTTTATGGAAATGGCATAGCACCAAGATTAAACATTGTAATTCACAATCATATGTATTAAATGAGTTGGTAGAAATTATTGTCATAATATAACAGAATAAGGGCTTTGTAAAGCTCTTTATAGTAGGAACACTTCTGCCATTGTGCAAAATATTTCATCAATAGTTTAGGGTAGAATAACATAACTTGCAACACCGGCATTGATGGTATAATTCAAAATAATCATTCACTATTTTTTAAAACTTTATTTTTTTAGAGCACTTTTAGTTTATAGCAAAATTGAAGGGAAGGTGCAGAGATTTCCCATATGCTTCCTGTCCCTCATAGGTGTATAGCCTCCTCCATTATCAGCACCCCCCCACTAGGGTGATACATTTTTACAATTGAGGAACCTACATTGATACATTATAATCAATGTTTATTGTTGCATTATGGCTCATTTTGGTGGTGTACGTTCTATGGGTGTGGACAAATACATGATGACATGTATCCATCATTATAGAGTGATACAAAGTATTTTCCCTTCCCTATAAATCCTCTCTGCCCTACTATTCATCTCCATGATTTTTAACCTTCCATGTGATAAACCATGGAACAATTTGGGATAATATCAATAAAATGGAATAGTTGTTAGCAAATGTATTAATTCGTTTGAGTTTTGTAGTTCTAAAATAATCTAATAATAAATCACTGTCTCTGTCCCTTCATGAGAATTATGAATTTGTGAGGAATTAAGATGAGGTTGGACACCTATTAGTGTGTATGAGTGTCTAAGACACATCATATATTTATAAAAATCACATATATTATTTCATCCTAATGCACAAAATAGCTACATTAATCAAAAGTTACTCCAGTGTGTTTGCTTTTAAGTACAATGTGCATTTGACAGCTGAAATGTAACAATAATCCTAATTAAAATTTTTCTAATAGGTAACTCCTAGGTTTAGTATGTGACCATTTTGGTCTTCAGTATATACACTTATACCCAGAACTTTATAATTTATTACACATTACTTTTCTTGCTTTGTCATTAGCTAGTGTTTGGTACCTAGATTTACCCTAAAAATTTTAAATAATATGATAGATTTTAGAAATATTAAAACTTCCAAGTAAGTATGTCCCTTTCAAAATATTTCCTCTTGCAGTTATATATAATTTTTTCTGAACATGTAGCTATTAGGGAAAATATTTTGGAATTCTTTAAAATCACCTTCAGTGGCTCCATACTATCTGTAGAAAAATTTTTCTGGTGGCAAGTTTGGGGCCTTTGGTAATAGTTTTGTAATTGGAACTAGATAAAGGTCATTCAAAACCATGATTGGTGAATAATGTCAGCCTGCTTGCTACCACAGACAAAGTTTCACCAAATGAAAGTGGTCTGGTATTTTCCCATGAGTTACCAGTTTCTTTGAAAGAATGTGAGAAAAAGGATATTTTAGTAAATAGAAACATTGATGCAATATGCAGACCTACATTCTCTAAGTGAGAAATCTTAATATGATTTTTTTAGAATTGGTTAAATTAGCCCTATTTAAAATAATGATTCAAGGTGAAATGTTGTTTAAAATCTATTACAATACAAACAAGAAAATTTGCTATGTAATTCTTTTTAAAATCAATTTTTGTTTTGCTAATTAGTTGGACCCTTATCAGAGGTCAATAGTAAATGATGTTACTTGAATGTCAATGAATTTTTATTGCAAATAAGGACTTTACTTAAGTTTTACTTTATATGCATAACTCTTTATTCAAAAGGTACAAAATCAAGCACATTTCTATTTTGAAGCTGGGACTCTTTCTTTTCTAATTATTTTATATGTTATTGTAAATGCATATGTTGTCTAGAGTTGTAAACTGAATTTCAATTACTGAAATTACCCAGGATCCAAAACTTTCTTTTCCTTTTCTAGAAATTTAAAGTTACAACATAAGAAGTACCCCCCCACACACACACACACACACTTGGTGTTTCATAAATTTTCAGTAGAAGTTTTTTCTTTGTCTTTTTTTTTTTAAGTTGGGTAATCAAAAACATTTGAAAGAGCAGTATGGGTTGGATATATTATGCTTGAGCAATTGGAAAACACTATACTGTTTAAACAAAGCAGCCTCATCCTAAATTAATAACCCAATTTTCTTCTGGGATAAAAGGAGGGAGGGCTGGGGATGGAGACAGGGAGCGTAACTCAGACCAGTGCCACCACTGTGGTTATAGAACTAAGTCACAGCAGAGAAACTGCTTTGTGGCTTAAGATAGAAACCAGAAAGTAAGAGGGAGTAAAGCAAAACATATTAGATGCAATTTGAATCTAACTTGACACAACTTCCAAGCCCTTTGGATTCAGAGATATCAACACCATATATCTTGTGAAGGATAACAGTCTCTGGCATTAGTGCTCCTGCTTCAAATGGCTTATGCTGCCCTACTATCATACTTTCTAAATTACATAAATAGAGTGAAAATGACAAAGTACATATTAAAAAGAAGGGCATGACATTTTGCAAAATAATCTGGAACATATCAGTGAATTTTAGCAGTGATAAATTATATAGGTACAGTCTTGAAGTTGATTAGTCTTCCCCTGAATGCCTCACAGAGTGGCAAACCCAAAGTCCTAGGAATTATGACCCAAATTGCAATGATTCACGTGCCATCCTCTTTTTGCTCCAAGAACTTTGAAAGTCATGCCAAACCAAACCAATGTAAATTGGTGGATTTGGACATCCTTTTCATGACCACATTATCCTTGCTGAATTGGAAACTACTTATTTTGGAAACATAATTAGACCTCTTAAGATTTTTAAATGTGCAATGTCTTCAAGGTACCCATGCTGTGCTTTGGTGAAGTTTGGAGAAAAATCACTTTGAAAGGTACTTCCTTCAAGAAAATACCATAACTGGATGCTGACAAGAACTTTTCTTGTTATGCTAAAAATACTTTGGGAACACGGTGACACTAAGTCATTTTCATTTTTTTTTTTAAACAAACTGGCATTAGTGGCAGTAATGAAAAATTCTCTGAAGAAATCTATGTTCACTGAAAGGTCATTTATTTGTTCATCATCAGCTGACCGTTTCAAAATAGTGTTTACCATTGACAGAAATCACTGGGTATTGCTATAGGAGACTTTCAGAAGTCTCTCTCCACTAGCCCCCACCTTTTCTTCTGAAGAAGTTAGACTGGGATAGACACACAATTAGGAGTTATTAGACCAAATGGTGGTCTAAACCCAGTGGAAAGAATGCAGCTGTCATGAGTAATTCCCACTATAAATCTTAGACACTTTCCAAAAAGAAATCTAAGAGACCAGCACTGTTTCCACAGTTGACTGGCTTATCTGCCAAAATACAGGCAGTTTTTAACAATGCAGATGAGCCTGTTAAAAATAGTTGCAAACTGTGGATTAGGTAGCATTCTTGGTAGCTTGAATGATGGGCAAACCACGAAGATGTAGAATTTGAGCTTGGTTGAGATGTGTGCCCCAAAAGCTTGCTTGTTTTTCTGGAACATAACAAAATGCATCTGAACCCCTGGAGTCTGAATTGTGGGCTGGGAATTTTGCGCAAACAACCCCTCTCCTGAGATTTATGGCACTTCCTAATTCCTAGGAGGCCAGAGCTACCGCAAGAAGAGTCATTCTCGCAATTCTTTGGTCTTCTGGCTTTTCCCTCTGGCAAAAACCAGTGAGCATGGGAACACCCACAATGCCCCCAAAGAGCTGCACGTTTCTTTCTTGGTCCTTCTGAAGGTCCTGCTTGAGTTTAGAGCTGAACATGAGGGGAAGTTAATGTGCCTTTCAGACCTATTCCTCCTCCCCTAAATTGAGTCTCTCCAACTTTTTATTGCCAACTTATTTGTTCTCACACTTTAAATCCAATGACTGAGAGAATAGGATATAATCTGAAA